TTTGTTTTTGGTGTATTTTGTTTTGTTTTTAGTGCATTTTGTTTTGTTTTTCGTGTATTTTGTTTGGAAGTCGGTTTTGTTTTTTTTTATAGATTTAAGAAAGTTTTTTCTTATACTCTTCGGGGATGAAAACTTTTTTTTCTTTTGCTTCGATAATGTTGGTTAGGGAATTATGAATAGTTTAATTAACGATAAACCGGTTAATCTTGTTAAATAAGAGACAAGGATTATATTTCCCATAGTTTTTTTATAAGGAAGACAGGAGCTATGAATGATTATCCAATATAGGGACATTAGATAATTAGTTTCTTCTCATTGGTATTATGGTATGGAGAGGATTTTGGAAGGAAGTGCCCGCTTTAACATCTTAGCACGAATGGGCCGGCACGCCCGGTGTAATACCACGACCACACAGAAGACAGGCGTGAAATGGAAGCAATTCCGTGTTTCGTTTGATGAGTGTGGTGCCGGAGGCCTAATTTAAGTCCCTTTCTCTTTACCACCCTTTTCTCATAAGGAGAGGTTGGAAAGGGGAAGTGGATTTGACAGTGGAGGAGATGCATAGGAAGGGGAAATATCCTCTTTATGTGCGTCTCCTCCTCCGTCGTATAAGGGTAGGCAACGCATCTGCAATTGCGGATGTCTATGGGCAGCGGTTGCTTCGCCATTTTGGCGATTTCAGGTAGCCGCTTGCTCGTTTGCCACCTTATGTTATAAAAAAAAAGAAAAACAAGATGACAATAATCTTATTAAATACACACACTCAGAAGTGTTAAGTACGCTTTAGAAGGTATCTCCAAAAATTCACTCTACAGACTTCGTTGTATTTAGCACAGATGTAGAACATATAGTCAATATTCTGGAAGAACACATAGTGTACTAAAGAAGTTTTTTTTACCTCCGCCCGGACACAGTCGTAGGCAAAAGTTCGCGTTTCATATATTTATACCATCATGTAATTAGTTCTTGCAACACATAATATAGTCATAAATACAACTATCTATACCCTAGTAAATATATACAATTTTTTGTCCATAATTTTTTCTACCTGAACCCAGGGGTGGAGCTAAAATCCACCCCACATTTTTTTCTAAACAAAAAAAGCGAATAGTGCACAACAAGGGTGGCAACATTTTTTTCTAACGAGCAACATCGATCAATAATTTTCCCGCGCAAAGATCGCATTGGCGCGTCACTCCAGACCCGTTCCGTTTAACAAAAGACTCGAACCCCTTTATGTAAAACTTATTCATTTATTTTTTCGTCCGCTAACGGTCGCGTTTTCGGTAATAGCTTAGGGATGTTATTAAAAGGGGGGGATGTTTTTTGTGTTGTTCGCTCCGCACGCGATTTGAACCACTAAATTATTTGGCACACGCACAACTCGATTTTTGTAGATCGTTACAAATATCGAAAGATAAATTGCCCATTAAATAGACAATTTTAAACTAGCGATCAGTTATTCATAGTAACACTTCTAGCTAATTTTTAATTGCATTTATCTAAGCAAAATAACATTCTAAGTAACCTATTTTTCTATAACAGAAATGTTTTTACCATCGGAACTACTTTGTTATTTAATAATAGCTTTCGCCCGCGGCTACGTCCGCGTGGAATTAAAAAAACAGAAGTGAATATTTGTTTTCCAGATTATTCTCTACGTTTTTATTAAATTTCATCGAGATCCGTTCAGCCGTTTCGGCTACAAACTCTAACAAACATCCATCTAAACTTTCGCATTTATAATATTTGTAAGATTTAAAACACAAGTCTCCCTTCGCCTTACTAAAGCTAGAGTACGCTATATGCACTTTATGATTATCTATAATAACATTATAAGGAAGAAATAATTACATTTTTGTATGTATTGAAATAACTCAAAAACTCCTGGACCTATTTCCGAATTTCTTTCACAATTAAAAAGCTGCGTTATCACTGAGTGAGATACACGCACTCCACGTGGAAGAAGTCACGAACAACAGCTAGTAACTAATGTTGTGTATGTGTTTGTTGCAGTGGTTGTAACTTCAGCGCCGGCGAACGAAGCGGAGCTGCAGTTGTACAGGGTGATGCAGCGAGCCAGCTTACTGGCGTACTATGACACGCTGCTTGAGATGGGTAAAAAAAATATTTATTGTTGTTATTAAAAAAAAACAGAATACAGTTTCTTATGCACTAATGTAAAGTCAATGATTTTAATGTTGCCAGATTGTTATTTGTCTAATTGTAATAAATTCTAATTGAATTTCATAATATAATCAGCACAGATAATATAATAATAAACTACTAATATTGTACTGCCAACATTTTACTGGCAACATTTAACCAATTTATCTGCGAGCAAAAAATGCTATATTTTTTAATTTCACGCAGGCGAAATCGCGAGCAACAGCTAGGTTGAAATACCTGATAACATGAAATGATCAGATGCGTCGATACTAGCACAATTCGTTTGCACACCTTTTCATATTGAAGAATGCAGTCGCAAATTCCATTAACTTTTGTGGTATTTATTTACAAAGCGCATATTCTTGCAACAGGTGTGAAGTGTGTGCAATATTTCTTTAAACTTGTATATACATTTTTTGAAAAATTGTGTAGTTAAAGGTTATTAAAAAAAACGCGTTTGAAATAAAAGTTTGTGTTTTTAAAACGCATACGTATTTTCTGTACTCTCATATCTATCGTCAAATTTAAAAATTCTTTGCTTAACAAATCTAACTAAAACTCTTCATGTATTATAAATGACTCTAAGAAAATCATTACTAACACAACATAGGAACAGTGAAAAAAACATTTTCTCATCATTCCCGAACTAAGAAATCAAAAAATACATTACCATACGCGAAAAAACATCGCAGACGTCCCATGCAAATTTCTTTTTTTTAATTTCTTACTTTTTTAACTGGCAATTATCCGGTCCGTGAAAGGGTTTGGCCGGCTTTAGCTCTTTTGTTTTTTTTTCTTAGCCCCTTCGTAACGTGGTCACGTAAGACATTTGCATATTCTAGTCTAAATTAAAATGGAGTGTGAACCGAAGTTTTTTGGTGAATCACACGCTAGCGGTAGGAACAATAACCTCGGAATGAACTCGCACTATGAGATACTTTTGCATATTAATGACAATCAATTCTTTAAGTTTTTTTTTGGTTTTGCGAATTAAGAAATTGTAGACGTTCTCATTAGGAAAGTGAATTGAGTTTTCTCATAATTGTACGCGTAGTGTTAAGAGTATTTCTTTTATTACTATGCATTTATTCGCAAAAGTTTATCAATAGACCTATTTTTTTCCAGGAGGTGACGACGTCCAACAATTATGTGACGCAGGAGAAGAGGAGTTTCTAGAAATAATGGCGCTTGTCGGCATGGCGTCCAAACCACTACACGTGCGGCGACTGCAGAAAGCACTACAGGAGTGGGTTAACAACCCCTCCCTCTTCCAGATTCCCATCGTCCCCAACATTTGTACAGAGAACCCTTTCATCCAATGCAACCAAAGACTTTTAAGTATACCCCCTTCTATACCTAATGTCCTTCCTAGGACTGTCGCGTCTCCTGAAAGTAGTAGACCAATGTACAGTCCATCCCCTGGCGCGCCTGACAACAGTTGTGGTTCCACCACATCAGCTCCTAACGTCAGTCCTGTACATAGTCAAGCTACATTCACTAAGATAGTCCTTCCCTCGTCTCCTGCCGCCGCTCCAATCACCACAACCGCAAGATCTTTCTCCCCTCAGAGCGCCTGCCCCCCAGCTTCATCAGGGTCCAGTCCAAGCTCAGTTACTTCACCTGTCCAATTAACTCCAGTCCTTTTAGACATTCATGTACAGAAGTTAGCGGCTGCGGCGGAGAAATTAAGTAAACACTTACCCCAATTAGAACCAAAACCTCAGAACACTAAAAAGAAGATGTGTAAAGACCTGGAGTTAGTTATGATGATGCCGGAGACGGACCCTCGTAGAATGGAGGAGATCAGAAAGTACGCGGCGATATACGGCAGATTCGATTGCAAACGGAAGCCGGAAAAACCGTTGACATTGCATGAGGTAATAAAACCGGCTAGTCTTTCTAAAATTTAAGGTAAACATTTAAGTCCAAGTTTTTAAGTCCAAATGTCTGTATATGCAGGTGATGGTGAACGAGGCGGCGGCCCAGTTGTGCCGGTGCGTGCCAGCGCTGCTCACGCGGCGGGACGAGCTGTTCCCGCTGGCAAGACAGCTGGTGCGGCGAGCTGGCCTGCACTACTCCAAGCATGGGTCAGTATGATGTGATACTAGGATCGATCGATCGTACAAAGATATTTTTTTTACATTTACAATATAAAACCTATTACGTCTTTCCTAACGGAAAGAAAAAGACCAGGGCGATGATAATATTGAGAAACCATTAAAAACACCACACTGTTCGGTTAAAAGTATTCAATTAAAGCAGCTTTTTAACATAAACTTATTTTATCTTTCCAGTCTCCCGCCAACAACTGCAGAGGAGAGAGATAGGGATGAGGAGGAGACACCAAGTAAACGACCGCGGCAGGTTGCGCCAGTCACACATGTAGACCTAACTGATTAGTCTATAGATTATTAGTTAGAACCTAACATTAACTAACAGAATCTAGCCTAGTCTGGATGTCTCTTGTAGCAATACTAAATCTAACCTAATTATTTTAACAATTTGAAACATAACCTAACTTTTACAAGCCGTTAAAAAAGTTTAAAAAGACTTCTCTTAACTATTGGAAATAATTCATTTATTTTAAAAATATTTCTAATGAGTCTTGTTAGAATTTCTTTATAACTAAGAGACTAGAATATTAAATAAACATTCTAATAAGAGTCTAGAATAAATCTAGGAAGATTAAATTCTAATTTGATTTTTATTTGCATAATAAAACAGAATATTGGTGCTAAATATGCTTGTTTCTTGTAAATATGTATTTAAAATCAATAGATTTTTAGATTAGGTAAATAGTATTTGAATCTATTTATTTAAATAGATTACAATATTTATTGTAAAGGTAAGCATGTACACTAACGCTTAAATCTATTCTTTTGCATTTTTGATTACTTTTCTTTAGGCTGTCGCATGTGCGGTAAGTTCTTTTCTGTTACTTTATGCATGTTTCTATGAAATAATAATTTATGTATTGTTAAATTTTATCATTAACCTAACAAAAATATCTCGAATCAAACCATTGCTTTTGATATATCCAATTTGTTTCTTTAATTCATCAAACGGTAGATTACTGAAACGAATAATAAACTTTTCACTTTACTTCATTTAAATTCACTTCGTAAGCGCCGCTTATAATGTGTCAAATGACAGTTTTAATGAAATTTGGAGTTAAGTGTGGCTTTATCATTGAAGTGGTGCCGGAGGCCTAATTTAACCCTTTCTCTTTACTACCCTTTTCTTTTAAGGAGGGGTTGGGAAGGGGAAGTGGATTTGACGGTGGAGGAGAAGCATAGGAAAGGGAAATATCCTCTTTGTCCGTCTCCTCTGACGGACACGGGTAGGCAACGCATCTGCAATTGCGGATGTCTATGGGCAGCGGTCGCTTCGCCATTTTGGCGGATTTAGGTGGCCGCTTGCTCGTTTGCCATCTTATGTTATATAAAAAAAGACGCCGTTACATTAAGTGTTTCTGTATTACTTACTTACTGCGTTGGCGCAGCGACCCGTTTCAGTATTAGACTGTTAGTAATCAAAAATCTAATAAAATGAAAAAGGACCTTTTTAATTCTTTTATTACGTCATTATATCTGAAATAAATATTGGTTATTGGGTTCGACTGTATTGGTAGCGTAGTGTCGCAGCACCGCCACATTTGCTACTCACGTTTGCGTCTGAGTTTTTAGTGAAAATAAGTGACTGCGTTGAAATAATAGTATTGAGTATTTTTTTTATTATAACAATACTAATACTTTCCAGGATGGAGATGATAACGGAGTTCGAGCGAGCCCTGACGCGGGCAGAGGTACTTCTAATCATAGGTAGGTCACCTCTCCTACACTTTCCATATCTGGAATTCAATTCCCCTTTTCCTTGTCATATTAGTAAATAAAAATTTAATCCGCATTTATATGCACAATAGGATAGTTTCCTTACCTATGCGTCTCATCTCCCGCGAAATCTAAATCCAATATTTTCTCTGTTTGAGAATGGTGGAAAAAGAGCACTAAAATAAACCTCCTGTATAAGTGTAATATTGCCGAGAGCCGTTATGAACCTTTGTCGAAGAATCATGTATACTGAAGATGACTTCGGACTTAGCATGAGTTAGCCAACACTGTTAAGGGCATTACCATTGTCAATTGTACTAATGTTGTAATACATATTTCGATACATGTTGTTATACATGTTGTTATACATGTTGTAATACATGTTGTTATACATGTTGTTGTACATGTTGCAGCTGGTGGGGCATGAAGACGGAGAGTGACGACGCGGACTCCAGGTGCTCCTACTCCAGCGCCAGCACTCCGCCACCGGTAATAACATCAATGTATAGTTCGATAAACTTCTCCGGCCCGGTGGGAGAATAAAAAAACTAAGAACGTCCTCACACCTAACTATCGCAGTTTAGTCTCGCCAGTTGAATTGAAACTTTAGTCAAAGGTGTTATAAGGGATGCGGCGATGAGGACACGAAATAAAACACTGGGTTTCACAAACAACGGGTGCGCACAGTTCGTTCGCCGGTCGACGTACTAGTTATATGCCGACCACCCTCAAATTTCGCTTTATTTTTTTTCCTTAAAAACTACCAACTGTTTTTACATGTACCTCGGTAGAAATTAGTAGTTATACTTAACAAAAATAATTATATTAAACTAATACAAAAATACCATAAAAAAGGCTTTTAAAATTCTAATGTCAACAGGTGTGCTCCCGCTCTAAAATAGCGCTAGGTCCATCCACAGCCAGATAAGAAAGAAATAACAGTTTAAATTTTAATAAACTTAATTAAACCCGCTAGGTCATAAAACTCATGTATAAATCCATAATTATTATTTTTTTATTAAACAGGAGACAGAAGAATCCCGTCCGCAAGTGGTGGCGTCTCGCGGCGACAGCATTATAGCGGTGGCGAACCCCGCGCTGCACGCCCCGCACACGCCCCACGCGCCCCACGCACCCCACGCACCACACACGCCCCACGCACAGCACCCCACACGGAACCACTCAAACTGACACATACTGTATCTAAACTCTAAGAGAGCACACCTTTGACTAAACTGTTGTGCGATATTTTAGTCTTTTGACTAAAAACAAGATTATCACATTCCAACTATATATTAATTTGTGATTAATTTCAATTGCATATCTTCTCATAACTAAAAAATGTCACATAACCACTGACCTCTATAAATGGATAGGCTATACTGCGGTATTTTATTTCTGTCAATTTAGCGCTGATGGTTACGGTTGGTTAACCGTTATTAACAAAAGCGTCCAAGTGGGAATGTTGAAAAAGCTGTATTTCCAAACAATCACCTGTCCGTTTATACAGATCGATGCAAAAAATCCTACAAAAGACGCTTGATAGATATGTATTCATACGCCTATACTCCATAAGGAAAAGTGCATCTAGACATAAAATCTATTGTAAATAAAACATATATATAAATAATTCTTAACACAGTTTGTTTAATCGATTTATTTATTACAATCAAGATTCCTTCACACAGACCGTTTTATAGCGAATGAAATTGAGTTTTATACTATTAAGATAAGGTTCAATTTTATATGCACGTTATTTTATTGAGACTAAGTAAAAGTAAAATTAAACCTTATGTGAATAGCATAAGGTTGAATTTCATTTGCACTATAAATCTTGGATTCTCCACTCCGGTCTGTTTGAAGGAACCCTTATAAAAAGATGGCGTGAAAATTATTCCACCAAATAACTATATAAGTTGTAAATATAATTATACTTAATTTAGCTTTAAGCTAAAGCCATAATATGCCTTTTAGTCATTATATTAGTTTTAGTTGTGACATCACAGGGACTTTTCAATTAATTTCCTTATTTTTCTTGAATACAATTGAACCGTTTTCAAATAGTTATTATTTTCATAGCAAATATTTATAAATCATACTAATGTTATAAATGTGACAGTTTAGATGGATGGATGGATGGATGGATGTTTGTACGTTTGTTGACCGATTTCCCAAAAGACGGAGGTACTCAATTCCTCCGTATGTTTTTTTTTATGTGTTACGGCATAACTCCGCCACTAGTGGACCGATTTTGATAATTCTTTTTTTATCCGAAAGGTAATGCCTACAGGTTGGTCCTATTTTTTTTGTTTGATTTTTAGCCTAAACGGCTGAATGGATTAAGATGAAATTTGGTATAGATGTAGAGGATAGTCTGAAAGACCACATAGGCTACTTTTGTTTTTTATTATTCCACGCGGACGGAGTCGCGGGCGACAGCTAATACTTCACACTTTACTAGTATATGCTTTCTTCATGCAACATGCAATTTACGCAATTTTATTCTTAAAAAATTATTTAAACTAATACAAATAAAATAAGTAAATTAATTGAAAATTTGGTCGCTTTATTTTAGTCATATTTTATTATAAGTGTATTTATTTATAATTTAAGAAAAGTATTTAATTTCAAGAATTTGTACAAATACCGACAATATTTTACTTTTGCATTTTTTAAATAAAAACTTTGACTTGGCTAAAAACCCAACACTTTTTGTCAAAACTTATTGCCTTTTCGTTAGAACAGAAAGATAAGTGACTAAACTGTCGCACAACTGTTGTGCGTCTGACGATTGTCGATTGTTTCACAGCCCATTCAACTGTTTAGTAGCACAACTAATAACCAAGTAATAACCATATAAGCTCACAGTAATCAAAGTGAGTCTAAACAGTTCTGCGATAATCTATTTATGGGTGAGCGGGCGCTCTAAAAAGACCAAAAACATGTACAATAAATGTGTCATAAATAGGTTTTTTAACTGTTAGTATAACAATTACAATACCCCATCCTTCATTGTCTTTTAAAAGAGAGATAATGTCTTTGTACTATCAAGGAATTTGTCGGTCCACCACAGTTACAATCGTTTTCAAGAAAACGACACGGAATAATAAACAATAGGACACTGCTTATGATGTGTAAGAAAAAAGTAGATGTACAAATTGCATGTCACGTAACCCTGTTAAACCCAACATAATACAAAAGGGCGTCATAGAAACCTCGTCCAAAGCACTTGTATTGCTAAAACCAACATTGAATACCGTCAAGTGCCCTAACTGTAAATTGATGCGACAAAATTCGATTAAAACATCCTGTTTCAACTTTTTCAAATAAACCGATAAGGAGGTCTGTAATTTTATACATGTTATTTGATAATGGAAACTAAACGATATACTGTGTGTAAATGTAAATAAAATATATGTCAACATTTAACAATCCAGCGCCGCTGGTCGCTTGAGTATTTAGGTATAATAAAATATTAATTGTTTATACTTTATTATTGTTTTATTATCCTGTTTCATTATCACCAGCTCACTATACGTCCGCAACGAAGAGCTCGCAGCCTACCCTAAGTTAGGGTGACTAGGCCATAGTCAACCACGCTGTACTGCGGGTTGACTTCACACATATCTTTGAATTTCTTCGCCGATATGTGCAGACATCACGATGTTTTCCTTCACCATAAGAACGTCGGGTAAATTATGTAAATATGAAAATTCTAAAACACTGGTACATGGCATGATTTGAACCTAAGACTTAAAAATTACAAGTCAAATGCTTAAACCACTGAGCCGAAGATGCTCTTAATACCCTGTTTGCGGAAGGAAAAATATAGAATTTAAATCTTTCTGCTCCGCTTTGGTTTATTTAACGTCACACTACGTATTTTCCTATTTGAAGAAGGGGTAATATGATAATGTTAATATTTAAAGCAAAATCTTTGGCACAGATAAAAAAAAAACTAAAGAATAAACGAAGAAATTTTCCATTACAATTAGGGTCGGCAAGCAAATTGGCACGGCTAGTAGAAGTCATATATTCTTATTCCAACGGGAATGCTTAATAAAAACTGATAAGTAGTTATTGAGTTATGTGAATCTATAGGGAAAATTAAAGCCTAAGAGTCTTCTATCTTTGACTAAACTATCGCACAATTGTTGTGTGATTGTCGATTGTGTCGTAGCTTCAATTCAATTCAACCGTTTATATCTAAAATCGAGTAATTTGCGCACCTCTATATAAGCTCACAGGAATCAAAGCGAGACTAAACAGTTGTGCGATATTTTAGTCAAAAGAGTGTGCATGCTCTTACTGTATAGGAGTACTTTTTATATATCTTCGATTCTCTCTACGCCGTGACTGACCATGACTAACTATCTTTTTTTTTTTATAACATAAGGCCGCAAACGAGCAAGCGGCCACCTGAAACCGCCAAAATGACGAAGCGACCGCTGCCCATAGACATCCGCAATTGCAGATGCGTTGCCTACCCTTATACGACGGAGGAGGAGATGCACATAGAGAGGATATTTCCCCTTCCTATGCACCTCCTCCACCGTTAAATCCACTTCCTCTTCCCAACCTTTTGTAAGAAAAGGGTGGTAAAGAGAAAGGGACTTAAATTAGGCCTCCGGCACCACACTCATCAGACGAAACACGGAATTGCTTCCATTTCACGCCTGTCTTCTATGTGGTCGTGGTATTACACCGGGCGTGCCGGCCCATTCGTGCTAAGATGTTAAAGCTGGCACTACCACTGTTAAAACTTGTGTCTAATATAGTCACAAGTTTTTACGTGTATATGAGTAACATCAAACAATACAGTAGTGTTAGTATTAGAAGCATGTCAATATGGATTTCCAACAAAAACCTGTCGAATACATCGTATACTTGTACCGCATACGACTGTTGTCTCTTCTATTCTTATTAAAAAAATAGAGACAGCGATTGTTTCAACACAAGTGTTAACGCAATGGAATCTCGCGTTATGATTTCTTAACTACGACTGAGGTCGCTCGCTGACCACATTGACAGACTCATAATATAATATATAATATCTAACTAAAGGTACAATACTACTAAAGCGAACTGCAAGCGAATGACAAGATATAGAGAATATGGAAAATAGAGCGAGCTGTAATTTATTAAGCGTCTAAAAAGTTTGCTAGAATAACCTATAAAATTCTTATAAATTAAGAATGAAAAGTGGAAGTGAATTAGACAAGAGAGGGAATGTAAAAATTGCTACGTACGTCCCCTCTTCTACCACCTACGAGTATATGGTAGCTTATTTGTCACTTTAAATAAAAAAATGCATACCAACTTTGAAATAAAATTTACAATTCTCTTTAGTTCCGTTACGCATGGTTTCGAGCTATTATGGTATAAATCTACTACTGTTTTAAATCCTAAATAGGAACAGTTATAAGAAAATATGTATCGACAGATTGTGACATATGTATTGCCTTTAACAATGACATTATAAACGGAAGTACGCCACTTCCTAGCGCTTAAATAGATCAAGTATTTCATACAATGTTAGCTTTGAAATAACCTTTTGTAAATCATTATTTTCGAGCGTGAGTGGCTCAGTGGTTTAAGCACTTTACTTGTGCAGGTCTTGAGTTCGTAAAAAAGATCTCGCCATGTATAACATAATTTACCCGACGTTCTTACGGTGAAGGAAAACATCGTGATACCTGCACATATCGGCAAAGAAATTCAAAGATTTGCGCGAAGTCATCCCGCATTCGGCCAGCGTGGTTGACTATGGCCTAGTCACTCTTACTTAGGGTACTCCAAGCCCCTCAGTGGGGACGTATAATGAGCTGGTAATGATTAAATCGTTATTTTATTCAATAGATACTTGAATTCTGTTACTTATATTTAGACATCAATCAATTACACTTATTATTAAACTTACTGTGGTGCTAAAAAAAACTTTATATGGTTTATAAGCATTATTATACAACAAATTTAAAAGCGAAAAAACTAAAAACTAAAACTAAAAACCACTAAGCCGCCGACGATTGTGAGTATTTGATTTGCACTAAAAAAACTAAACAAATCAACCCACAATTTGCGCATTCTCGTTAATTCCAAAAGACTGAGTCACAACTAAAGTTGCGGCAACTTTCAAAGAACTATCGCTAACTATTAGTTATTTGTTTTGAATCATATACTAGTATAGGGTCATCGCTTGTTAAGAAACGATAAGTAAAATCAATAATTGATTATAACTGACACCGCAAAAGCTAAGAAATTTAACCAAAGATAAACTGCACAATTTCCTCTACTGATTAAGATAAAGGTTCCCAAAACATATTTAATGCGAAAGTTTGGATCTATGCTTGTTTGTTTGTATCATAAACTGCTAAACGGATCTCGATGAAAGGCGTAGATGTAGAGCATAAACTGGAAGAATTACTTTTTTTTAATTCAACGCAAACCGAGTCACGGGCGAAAGCCAGTCTTTACTAATATTATAAAAAGTAAAGATTTGTATTTTTGTATTTCCCCATGTATTAGATTCACGTAATACTGGGCCGATATCAAAAATTCTTTTACCATGAGAAAGGTAATTTATCTGTGACTAAAAAAGGCTATATTTTTATTATTTTTCAATTTCACGCGGACAAAGTAGCAAGCAACAGCTAGTAAAATATAAAATTTAAATATGAGATAAGTTTGAATGTTAAAACATCGTAACATGGCCTAATTATTTCAGTTAAAGAATAACTATAACGTTTTGTTAATAATCAAGCTTTTGTAACTTAACTCAGGATAAAAATAAATGTAATATACTTGATCGAATAGTATATATTACGAAATCTGTATATGAAATGAATGTGTTGTTCCGTTTGCTGTAAACGATGTCATTCATCTCTGGGACATAATTAAAATTGTTTAATAATTCGTCAGATTTCATTGCGGCCTTCACGATTGCCGCCATTTGTATGACGTCACGCGGATTCTACATATTGGTCCATAATTAACATTTCTTGCATAAATTCGAAAAATAGTTAAAAAGTGAACTACATAATTGGTATAACTAGCATTATATTTTAGTAGCTTATCAATACTGATTATTATAAAGAGGAAAGATTTGTAATTTTATATTGTAATGAAATAACTCAAAAACTACTGGGCTGATTTGAAAAAATCTTCCATTATTAAAAAGCTACGTTATCTCTGAGTAACATAGGCATTATTTTTCTAATTTCACGAGGACGAAATCGCAAGCAACAGCTAGTCTATCA